GACGAATTATCAACCATGTAATAAAATTCCAAGGAAAGTAGTAACTAAGTTAAACACACAAAGCAAGAAGACCAAGTGTGAGTTATCTGTCAAACAAAAAAATGGATGGATAGTATAACTTATTGGGGGAAATGAAATTTATCCTAGCTCTGATATTAAAAGAGGAGCAAAATCTACTGTCTTCTGCAAAAGTCATGCAATTTAAGAAGGCAGTGGACACATGTAATCCCACCACTTGGGAGGCTGAGGTAGGAAGACTGCCATGAGTTTGAAGTCAGCTTGGGCTACATAGTGAATTCAGGGCCAGCTTGAACAACACAGTGAGACCCTGCCTCAAAAAAAAAATCCCAACCACAATAAAAACAACATAAAAGTGTAAACCGTCTTAATATTTTTATATTGACTATATATTGAATCAATAACATTGTGGTTATACTGGCTTGCACCATTAAACTGTAAATTAAATGAATTTCACATATTTTTGGTTCTGTTAATGTGACTATTAGAAAATGTTAAAGTGCACGCTTCACATTAACTTTCTGTAGGGCCATACTGCTCTAAAGGAGCGGGGTGAGATGAGCCCTCTGGCTCTCCCGTGACGACAGGTCCCGGTGACGGCAGCCTGGATATTCAGCATCTACATACTTCAGAATGTGTCTGGATTTCACCTTACAATGAGACACAACACACATTTGTTCTTGGACTTGCTCTGAGGGACGTGTGTGCTACCCTGGAAGACAGGAAGCTAAGGAGGAGGCTGAGCAAGATTTCCTCCTATCCTGTTACACTGTCACCGTGTGTTAATCTTTTATTTCCTGTTGCGCTCTCAACGGCTGCTATGTTAGTACGTGGGATAGACTGTGAGGATGACTGGAAGACACTGAAGAGCAAGGGCGCAGCCTCATTTGTTAGCTCTCTTACTCGCTCCCCGTGATTCTGAGAAGGGACACGGGAGAGCTGTTTTCCCCACACAGGGGCTTTCCCTTCTGTGCATGCATGATGACTTTGCCAGTGGACTGATTATGCCATTCATTTTACAGTTCTTGGCTTAACTGACTTTTTTTTACCCCCTGGGACTAAGACAGTTTTTGCAGTAGAGAATATTTGCAAAACCTGTTGATTATAAAGCTTAATATATTTTGCCCATGCCAGGAACACGGCTAAAGTGAAGGTTCACTGAAGACCAGGTTGGTGAGAGGCAAGGGTGGGGCAGCAGTGCCTCCCCACAGCTTTCGTCATTCTGTCCCCCGGGCCTTTTCCTCGTCTCCTCTGCAATTTGCCTGAGCTCCGAACCTTTTGCTGTGTAGCAGGGAGAGCTTTATTTAAGAAGCTCTTCTGGTTGAGACACATTTTGACAGCTCCTAAAAAGCCATTGGATAAGCAGTAATTGCACCCTGGTTTTGAGCTTTCTGGGGGTCGTGCGTATGGCTTTTTTTTTTTTTTTTTTCTGGTACCAAGAATCAAACTCATGACCTTGTGCTTGCTGGGCAGGTGCTGTGTCACTTAGCTAAATCCCCAGCCCTGATTGTGCATATGTTAAGGCTCCAGGTTCTGGTGGGAATGAGGATGGTGTGGAATTCACATCCGAGGGGAGGGCTGACGTGTGACTCCCGGATGAGGAAGGTCCTGTGGTTTGGCTGTAGTATGCATGTCTCCCAAGAGCCCGTTGCCATCACAGGGTGGCGCTGTCAGGATGTGGTAAAACCTTTGGGAGGAGGGGCCTAGACCTGGGGAGGACTTTAGGTCATTGGTGGCCTGCCCTTTGCTACGGTTATATTTAGATGGCTCCCCAAGCCCCATGGACTCAGAGGTGAGGCTTGTGGAAGGTGACTGGATTGTAGGCGACTTACAGCTGACTTGCTGTGGATAGGTGAGGCCTGGCTGGAAGATCGATCACTGTGGGTGTGACCCAGAGTACAGTACTGTACCTTCCTTCCTGGCTCCTCCCTTGACCCTCTGTCTCCTGTCCCCCCATGCCGTGAGCAGCTCTTCTCCACCCTACCCCTCTGCCACGCTGTCCTGTCTCGGAGCATGCAGACAGCTCAAGGACTGAATGTCTAAAACGTGAGCCAAGGCAAACCTTTCCTCCTGTGTGTTGTGGGTGTAGGGTACTGTGTTCTGGGGAGGAGAAAAATAACTAAGACTCCCTTGCAAGGGATTGTGAGACCCCAGACTCTGTCTGACTTCCTGTTTGGCCTCACCATGCTATACTGCCACTGGCTGCCTTTCCTGATAGGTTTTTCCAGCGCAGAGAGAAGTAAAACAGAATAAAATGCCTTTATTGTGGACGCGGAAAGGCCAGAAAAACGTGGAAAGAGAAAAACATGGCCTCTGCCGATCTTTCGTGGGGTCCGAGGTTAAATAGCCCCAGGCTGGAGGCAGGGTTTAGGAGGCGCACTGCCTGACATGGCAGCCCAGGATCGGGTGGGAGCGTGGGAAAAGGGAACAGGATATTACAAAAAGGGAAGTGGGAAGTTGTAATTTGACTCAGTGGAAGAAGGGTGGGGCTTAGCACATGGCCTTTAGTGGCCTGCGCCATATTGGCTGGCTGCCATAGCAACTCAGCAGGAATTACAGCGGGGCAAGAAACCAGTCATGTACTAGGGACCAAGCAGAGGGGGCCACTGGGTCATGGACTCTGACCCTCCAACACCATGGTCACTTAGAAGTTGATGAGACCTCCTTGACTTTTTTTGGTTTCCTCCACATTTGCTTTCTGCAATTGGGTAGCTATACATTAGAGAACAGAAGTTTAAGCAAGATGCATGTAACAATTTAACAGAACCTAGTAGTCTAATTTCTTTCCATTTTCCTCAAATTCATTTTTGAGTTATTCCATCATGGGGCTTCTCCTTTTGCTCATGAATGAATTTTAGCAGTAATTTCACTGAGCTAAAGAAATAAGTCATCTCTGAGTACACAAGGAAAAGTAAACACATGGCCAAGTAGATGAAACATCACTGCTGGATGTTTATGAGACTACTTCCAACTCTAACATTGGGGAAGCTTAGAGATTTAGCATTAACTGCAAGGAAAGTTAAATGAAATTCCTTTTTTTAGATCACAACTGTGAATTCATGTGGTTATACAAATTGTGCATTTGTGTGCAAAATATGAAAGACATTTACCCTTGTTTCCTGCTTAGTCTTATGTAGTGCAGGTTGGTCTTGAACTGTGTAGCCCAGGCTGGCCTTGAACCCACAGTGATCCTCCTGCCTCAGCCTCCTGAATGCTGGGATTACAAGTGTGCACCTGTACCACCACAGCTGGTGAGACCTCCTTGACTTTGACACGCGCTGGCTTTGGGACTTTAGAAAAATTACCTATGTTGCTAAGCCTCAGTTTCCTCCATGTGATATGGGAATAGCAATGTATTTTACATGGTTACTGTGAAGATATAAATTGCATAACACAGAACCTGGCCTGTATGAAACATTCAGTACATACTACCTAATGTCACTGTAGGAAAATATGCCTCAGATTCCGTTCAACCAACAACTACTGAAATCCCTCTGGAGGGCATCAGTCTCCCACCTGGCAGTATGGCACATGGATGAAAAGAAAAACAAAGAGAGAAAATTCTGCAGTTAAGTCTGGAATGACCCAGTGCTCTCTGTGGAACAAAAGGGCCACGAGTCTGAGAGCTCACAGCTCTTACTGGTATCAGTCAGGGAGGTGGGTGGGGTTGTGGCAGAGCGCTAGGGAAGAGAAACTTTGCAGACGTGGCTGTAAGGAGAAACAGAGCACTTCTGCACCAGGCATAGCGGCCGTCCAGTCAGCAGTGCAACCAGTAGCTTGATGTGTGCAAGGCTGGCGCTTTTACTGCCTGGAAGGTATAATTCTTTTGAGTCCCATGGCCTCAGCGGAGATGTTATCTCATGTCTCAGCCCTGGAATCTCACAGGCTCTTGCTCAAGTCCCTGTTCCAGCCATCAGTGAGTGGGTGGGGGGATTCTTGCCTGTGTGCTGAAATGAGACATGCTGGCATCTCGGCCAGACTCATCACATTCTTTTAGCCAATGAAGGGAACATCTGCTTCTGTATAGCCAGCTCTGCATAGCTCAGTGAATAGCGTTGAAGGAGAGGTCGGGGAAAGGTTGAGGCAATGGGCTTCATTTCTCAGGGGAACGCAGCTTGGTGGACTCCCAGAAACAACATGCACTTTTGTTGTCGGTGCCTATTTTACGTTGATTTTACCCTGGCTTGAGTTCCACTTGGTATATGCGTCCATGCTGTCCTGTATCTACTTCATCTCCAGCCACTCTTGTTACCCTCCCAGCGCCCTCCTTCCCTCTCCCTTTGCTCCTCCTCCTGTGTAATGAGAGTATTTCTTCTACATTCATGCCATCTTTTCCTTGGTTTCCACATATGAGGGAAAACATGGTACTTGTCTTTCTGAATCTGGCTTATTTCACTTACCATGATCTCCAGTTGTACCTATTTTCCTGCAAAAGACAAAACTTCCTTCTCCTTTGTGCAGACACCCCGTTTGCTGTGTTCATTCCTCTGTTGATGGGCACCTCGGCTAGTTCCGTATCTTGGCAAGTGGGAATTGTGCCACATAACCACGGCTATGCGGGTGACCGTACCGTGTGCGGCCTGTCCCTGCTTCGGGTGTATACCGAGGAGAGAGGTACAGCTGGATCATTTGGCAGTTCTAGTCTTAGTTTTCATGGAACCTCCGTACTGATTTCCACAGTGGCCATACTAACTTACGTCTCACCAGCAGTGTAGGATTCCTTCACCCTCACCAGCATTTACTATTTTCGGTATTCCTTGACAGTAGCTATTCAGACTGAGGCCAGATGGAATCTCAGTGTAATCTCTTTGATTTGCATTCCGTACAAGCACCTTTTGGATTTGCATTTCCATTTAAACACATTTTATGATGTGTAGTTTTGCGTCATAAAGTGACTCTTTCACTTAATAAATTTTTAAAGTAAATTAACGAGATGGTTTTCCTGATGGAAACTGACCTGAAATACCTCTTTCTCTTTGCAGATCTTGTACTGCACTTTAAACACACCTAAAGTTGATATGCAGAGACTCCTAGGAGGGCAACTAGGTCTTGAAGATTTCATATTTGCCCACGTGAAAGGACTAAAAAAAGAAGTGAATGTGTATAAATCTGAGGATTCACTTGGACTCACCATTACAGACAATGGTGTTGGCTGTGCTTTTATCAAGGTAAGAACAAAACAAAACAAAACAAAACAAAACAAAACAAAAAAGAGACAGGTGGTCTAAATGAGGATGACCTTTAAGAAGACATACAGGGTCAAAGACAGCTCAAAATGCCTTCAGAGCAAGAGGCTGTCAGCTGGGAAGCATGAATTGCTAATGTTTCACTTTCATTTAAAAAATATTCAAAGACAGCACTGTTTGTTTATTCTTCTGCTAATTTCTTTGCTTCAGTTTAAACTTCCTGTGCAGTGTGGAACGTACTGGAAAGGAAAGCCCAGCGCTCAGCCACATCCATTTTTTAGGTCCGAGGCTCCCATCTGCCGACTCCCTGCAGAGATCCGGAGACCTGGGGTTACTTCCAGCCACAGACTTTTGAGTTCTTGGTTTACTTCTTTAAAAGTGCTCTTCAGCATGATCTGAGCTGGATAATTTCTGTAGTTAATTACAGAGAATAACACAGAGTTGCAAAGGCAAGAGAAAGGAGGTGGGAATGGTACGAAGACCTAAGAACTAAGGAGCAGGACTTCTTAAAAAATAATTCAGTTGCTGAGTGTGGTGGCATATGCCTGTAATCCCAGCACTCGGGAGGCTAAGGCAGGAGGATCATTGTGAGTTCGAGACCAGCCTGGGCTACAAAGTGAGCTCGAGGCCAGCCTGAACTGCACAGTGAGACCCTGTCTTAAAAAGACCAAAAAAAAAGCAGTTGTAATGAGTACAGCTGTCCCTTAATGGCTGCGCTGACTGCAGTATATTCCAGAAGCCCCTGTGGATGTCAGATCTGGCAGCACAAGATTTTTACCTAAATGGCCTGGTGTTTTGCATATCACCTATCCATACCCTCCTGTATACTTTATATCATCTCTGATTACCTATAACACCTAACAAAATGTAAAGTTATATCAGTAGTTGTTGCACTGTATTTTTGAGGGAATGATGACAAAAAGAAGTGTATAAATGGTCAGTATGGGTGCAGTTTTTTTCCTTTTTTAAAAATTTAGGTTTTTGCGACAAAGTCTCCCTATATAGTCCAGGCTGGTCTTGAATTTGTGTGGATCCTGCAGCCTCCGTCTCCTGTGTGCTGGGAGTACAGGCATGCATCACCACACCTGGTTTGAGGCACAGCAAATTTTCAATGTACACCTTCACGAATGTTTATACACCAACACCCAGATCGGTGGAAACTGCATTAGTGCCACCTGGAAGTCTCCATTGAGTTCCTTCCTGGTCAATACTCTTCCACCTGAAAAGTAGCTACCTTTTGACCTCCTGCTAGCTCACTCTTGAAGTTCATATAATCGTACATCATATACTCTTCCATTCTGTTCTACATCATGTCTGTGAGATTCGCCCAGGGCAGGCAATATTAGCAACCCATCTTACAGATGTAAAACCAGGATCAGGAAGGTTAAGCTTATCCGGAGTTCTACTGCTGGACAAGCCCAGCATTTGAACCCAAGAAATCTGACTCCAGAGTCAGCTACACACACGTCCTGAGCTAAAAGCTGGTGACTGACTCACATAACACAGTGCCCTGGATGCTTTTATTTTGTCCCAATCCTGATTACCAGTTCGTCATCATGAATGACTCCTCTTCAGGAAGTCAAACGGTACTTTGGCTCCCTACTCCACAGGATGGCTATTTTTAGCTCTGCAAGAGATAGGGCTGTGCCAAAGGTCTAGTGGGTGACCCAGTGGAAACTCTGACAGTGTACGGTCACGTGGGGTTAACCAAGGGAAGGGCAGGACACAAGGCACACAAGCAGTGGCTCTCTGTCCACAGAGACGGGATAGCGGGCTCTGCAGTCGGCAGAGCTTTTAGATATTGGCCTCACGGTTCTGAGCTGTGTTTCTGTTTTTTTTGAATGCCTTGTCACACCTGTGTCTGCCTCAGAGTACTAGTTGCTGGTCCTGGGGCCATGGAGGACCTGGTAACCAAGAAGAAAGTGAGCCAGGTGTGGTGGCCACATGTCTGTGATCCTAGCACTCTGGGAGGCTGAAGCAGGAGGATCCCAAGTTTGAGCCCAGACTGGGCAACTGAAAAACTTAGTGAGCCCCAGTCTTAAAATAAAAAATAAAAGAGGGGCATGTAAAGGCCCTGGGTTCAATCCCCAGTAACACACACACACACACACACACACACACACACATACACACACGCATACACACACACACACAGGCGCATAATCCAACTGACATAAGAGTTCACTTTAAAAGAGAGATTTATATCATACTGTATACATAGTTGATGAAATCGGGAGAGTAATTTCAAACAAATAGAAAAATTATACTAATAATACAAAGAACTCTTGTAAACCAGGGGTGGTGGTGCACACCTATAATCCCAGAAGAAAGGAGGCTGAGGCAGGAGGATTGCTATGAATTTGAGAAATAAGATCCTCATCTATTTGTAACATTTTGCTTATTCAGTTGTCCGCAATGAGAATCAGCAAGGCTGGAAATGCAGGATGTTGAGGAAGTGGAGGATTCTAGGGTAGAGACAAGGGTCTGTGAGCAGAGGCCTGCGAAGCCAGAACAGAGGGATGGGTTCAGATTACAGGTGATGTATTGGATCTAAAGGCCGTGATATCAAAGAACAGTTTCAATAAAAATAAGGAAATGGGAAGTGGGAAGGTAGAAGTTGTCAAAAAAAGAAATTTCAAAGCCGGGCATATTGGTAGACACCTATAATTCTAGCACCTGTGAGGCTGAGACAGGAGGATTACTGTGACTTTGAAGCCAGCATGGGCTACCTAGTGAATTCAAGGCCTGCCTTGACTCCAGAGAGATGCCCTGTCTCAAAACACAGAACAAAACCACAATAATTTTGAAAGGTCAGCTGGGTGTGGTGGTGCATGCTTGTCATGCCAGCCCTCCGGGAGGCTGAGGCAGGAGGGTCACAAGTAGGTGTCCAGCCTGGTCAACCTGGCCACTAAAAAATAAAACGACTGGGGATGTACCTTAGCTCGAAGGTCCTGGGTTCAATCTTCAGTACAACAAAAAAGGAAATTTCAGAGTTCAAAGGTGACTGCTCATTTTTTTTTTGGTTTTTCTCCAGTACTGGGAACTGAACTCACGACCTTGCGCATGCCAGGCAGGCGCTTTTGCTGCTGAGCTAAATCCCCAGCCCCAGGTGACTGCTCATTTTGGGCAGTTACAGTGCAGAACTGCACTTGGGACCAGAGACCTTGGGCTGTACATCTGACACACATTTATTTATTTATTTATTTATTTTTGCGGTACTAGGGATTGAACTCAGGGCTTTTACACTGAGCTATATCCCCATCCCTTTTAAAATTCTTTAAAATTTTGAGACAGGGTCTCATTAAGTTGTACAGGGTGGGGGCTCGTATTTAACAACCCTCCTGCCTCAGCCTCCCAGGGTGCTGCTTACTGACAGGTATTACTCTTTTCCTATTTTTTAAATTTTAAAATTATATTACCTCTGTTTGAGACCCAGTTCTGTTGTTGATTAGCTGTGCTATCTTGGCCATGCTGGATGATCTTGGTACCTTGCTTTTCTTGTCTATTAAATGGGAACAGTAAATATTCTTTCATCACCTTACCGCGAGGACCACCTGAGGGAGCTACTTGTAGTTGTAAAAATATTACTTTATTACGAAGAGTATCGTTTGAAGACAGCATTGAAAAGCTCAGCAGTGCAGATCTCAGAAGTGCTGAACTTGGTTAGGTTGAGCAGTTCTAACGACCTTTGCCTGCGAAGAGGCGCAGGCCTATAATCCCAGCACTGGGGAGGCTGAGGCAGAAGGAGCACCGTGAGTATGCGGCCAGTCTGGGATATGCAGTGCCTGTAAGACCAGACTGAATTGCATAACAAGACTCTTTTTTTTTTTTTTTTTTTCGGTACCAGGAACCGAACTCACGACCTTGCGCTTGCCAGGCAGGTGCTTTTGCCGCTGAGCTAAATCCCCAGCCCCTAATAGCAAGACTCTTTCTAGAAAACAAACAAACCCTAAAACAAAACGAACAAAATCTTGAGTCCGATGCTTAAGATTTAGGGTGGCTGGCACTCCGCCCTGCGGTGTCGTCGCTGTCTGTGAGGAGAAGGAAGGCGAGTTCTTCGCACTGGGCGAGCAAAGTGGAAGGCGCCGCAGTTGGGAGGCCTGTGTTTAACAACATAAATCCCGCCTTCCAAAAAATATTTGAGTCTTTGCCTTTGTAGCGCTGGTCCCCAAAGCCCGAGTGTGACCGAGAACAGTATCAGTGACAGCGTAAATACAAGCATGGCATCGGTTCCTCTCTATATTTCCCTCTCCCGGTTCTTTGCGCCTGAGCAGCACTTTTACCAACTTGAGGAACTGATGTCCAGCGACCGCGTGATGGTCAGTGTGTATTAGATTTCAGAAGCTCTCCTCCATTGCTGCCTCATCCTTTATTTTATCCATCTAGGGGGCCAGGGCTGTGGGAGCTCAACCAGTGTCTGCAACTTGGCTTTGAAACCTGGTCCATCTTCTGCAGCTCTTCTCCAGCTGTCTCACGCTGATTTTTCTTTCTGCACATCCCAGATTCTTCTCTGCTGCCTCTGCTACCTGCACTTGCTTTGGCTCCCTCTGAGCTACCTGAACTGCTGCTGCACGTTCCTCCTCCATCCGGGGACTGAGCATTCTACTTCCATCCGGGTACTGAGTCTTCCGCCTGTATCTGGGCCACTGTGCTGTTGGCGTTTCCAGCTACGCGCATGCGTGCATTGGACAAGACTACTGTTACTACGGTCTTCCATTTACTAACAGTCATACACGGCCGGGCGTGGTGGTGGCACATACCTGTAATCTCAGCACTCGAGAGGCTGAGGCAGGAGAATCATTGCGAGTTCGAGGCCAGCCTGGGCTACAAAGTGAGCTCAAGTCTGGCCTGAACTGCATAGCGAGACCCTGTTTCAGAAAGACCAAAAAAAAAAAAAAAAAGTCATACATGGTTTTTAATATTTTAAATAAAATTACAGTACTGAGTCTTAAAAACAAAAAGGAACACGTGGTAGGACACTGGGATTTGTATATTTGAGCACAGGGAAAATAGTTTCAAGATGTAGCAGGAGATAAATTAGCACAAAAATGTACAACGTGAGTTAAATATAGACCTTCACATTTTTTAAACAGTTTAAGCATGGTTATATAACACAACATTTAATAGGTATTTTTTGTTAGATTCTAATCTTTTTAAATCTTGTTTATTTTTATGTGGTCATTTAGAAACTGTAGCTTTGTTGAGGGTATGTTGTGGTTACCATTGTTTCTGTTAGCTGTGTGAGGCTAATATGGATTTCTAGTGAAACAATGCCAGATTATGGAACTTCTGCCTTCTCTGTTTCATAGTTAATTATTTATAATTGGTATTATTTTCATATAGCATGTTAATAGTTGCTATAACAACATGGCAAAAATTTTTTTTCTATTTTTGCTATCCGTGCTATTCCAGGCTGGCCTCAGACCTGCAGCGATCTTCTTGCCTCAGCCCCCTGAGTGCTGGGCTAACAGGTGTGTGCCACCACACCTGGCGAATATTCTTTAAAATTGGAGATCAAAAAATCTATTTTCAGTGTTGGTGTATAAGAATACAATTTAGGACCAGGGGTGTAGCTCTGTGGTAGAGAACTTGCCTGGCATGCATGAGGCCCTGGGGTTTGATCCCTAGCACTGAAAGAAAGAAAGAAAAAGAAATATATTTTAAAAACTTAAAAATTAAAAATTCCCAGTCTTTGCAGGGTCATGGTTTACAGGATTCATGCTGGAGTCATGAGCTCAGTTTCTCTCAAGTCTGGGACACAGTGCTCAATGGATTAGGGCAGTGTACCTGTGCTTAGAGCACAGCACCCGCAGGCTCTCATAGGTCTGTTCTGTCATCCCCGCAAAGGGCTCCTCCTCCTCCGGGCCCTGGCCTTCATTTCCCTTCCTGGTCACTGTGGAAGAACTTGTCCACTGGCAGGGCTGTTACCTGTGGGACTCCTGTCCCTAAACCCTTTCCTCTTAGGGATTTTAGATCTCGTTTGAGGCTTAGCACAACGATTGCACAGTAGAGAACTAAGATTTAAGAAGGACCAGCTTCAAGTTTCTCCGTAGATCCTGCATTCTCCTCATCTAAAATATACTACGAAGGGCCGGAGCTATAGCTCAGGGGCACAAGTGCCTGCCTGGCAAGCACAAGGTCCTGCTTGAGTTTGATTCCTGGTACCAAAAAAAAAAAGTATTATGAAACACAGTCCTGTAAAATCACCCTCACTGACTCCCAAAATGTTAGGCATACTGCCTGCTCTTCAGCATCAATCTTCTTAGCTAAAATCATACCCTTTTGGGGAGGCTGAAGAAAAAGTTGTAGTAAGTTCGAAACTAGCCTCGGCAACTTAGTGAGATCTTGTGTCAACATAACAAGGGCAGGCTGGGGATGCAGGTCAGTGCCAGAGCATTTGCCTAGTGCATGCAAGGCTCTGGGTTCAATCCTCTAGCCTGAATTAAAACAAAACGGTACCATTCTTTGAGTGTAAGTAACTAAGACTTAAAAAAAAATATAATCTATGGAAAAAGCTCCAGCATAGAGGCATGGATGCTTCTCTAGTTAGTGGGCCTCATGTTGAAATGATCCAGCAAGCATTGATAAAGGGATTTTCTGTGCAGGCTTCGTGCTAGGCACAGGACACGCAAGGCTATTGCAGTTTAGTAATGGAGAGGGGGAGGTAAATGAAGCTTGCCCTGTGGGGTGTTGAATCTGGGAAATAATTTGGCCTTCCCAAGTGTCAGTCTTCCTGATCAGTGATGCCTTACAGAAGATGACAGGATTAAGTGCATAACAAATGTAAAGCACTTGGCTTGGAGGTCAATACAACATATATAGGAAAAAGTAGAGTAAAAGATGAGCGTAGCATCTTACCCAGTCTTGGAGATGTGAGTTGGGGAGGTCAGGAAAAGCTTCCCAAGGAAGAGGTGACTATGAGGTATTAGAGTTCTGAATGATAAGGAAGATGAATGCTTGGGGGTAAGATGACTGTTCTTTCCTGCTTGGTGGCATTATTATTATTATTATTATTATTAATTATTATTGTACTGAGACTGAATCCAGGGCTTTGTGCATTCTGGGCAAGCACCCCAGCACTGCACTACAATACAGTCCTTTTTTATTTTGAGACAGTGTAATGTTAAGTTGCCCAGGCTGCCTGTGAAATTATGATCCTCATGCCTCAGCCTCCTGAGTAGCTGGAATTACAGATGCCACACTCTGCTTTAACCTAATATTAAAGTGCATCCTTAATATGTCAATATGCTGTGTATAATAACTCAAGAACATGAAAGGTAATGTTACCTAGCTCTGTTTCTGTATTACCATTAATTTTCTTTCTTTCAGAGAATTAAAAGTGGTAGCATTATTGACTCAGTTAAGACAATCTGTGTGGGGGATCATATTGAATCCATCAATGGAGAAAATATAGTTGGATGGCGTCACTATGAGGTTGCTAAGAAGTTAAAGGAATTAAAAAAAGAGGAACTCTTTACCATGACATTAGTAGAACCTAAGAAGGCATTTGGTAAGTTGGTCATGTGTGTGTGTGTCTGCGTGTGATATCTTCCTCTGCCTTATCTCAGGGAAGTGAGTACTGTCATGTGTTACCATGTGCTTTTCATATATCAATGTATGTTGATACATTGGTTTTACTATATCTTATATCATCTAACATACCAGCTAAGAACATAGAAAATGATAGCATGAGGAAAACATCTGTTAAAGGGTTAAAAAAGGAAACTGATTACCTTGGGGAACAAGATTGTCTGAAGAGCCTGTGGACTCCCAAAGCCAGATGTCTGGTGTCTGAATTTGATGAGCTGTCCCAGTCTCAGAGGGCAGCCTGCTGCGTTGTGTTCATTTTGCTGAGCAATGAGAGTTTGGAGAGCCCTCTGGAAGCCACAGCAACTACTGTTCATGGACCTCTGCAGCAAAAATTCTCATTGTGCACAGAATTGGTCTTCAGAATGGTGTTATGGTTTGTGTCTGGGTGTCCCCCCAAAGCCTCATGCAGTCATGGGGTGGGTTTCTAGAGTTTATGACTGATCCATGGTCCAGTGGTGGGATTATGGATGTGAGTGCTACACCCGCCCTGGGGGGATCGTTTGCATACAGTGTAAGGGAGGGAAAGAGGCTGCTTGCCTCTGCTGCTCCTCCCTTTATCCTTGCTGCTTTTGTTGTCTTCCACCGCCATGAACTGTTGCCCTCTGCCATGTGCCACCCTGCCTTGGAGCTAGCAGAGTATGGGCTGAAACCTCCACAAACTGTGAGCTAAATAAACCTTTCCTTCCTTAATTTTGGGTGTCAGGTATTTTGTCTCAGCAACGAGAGAAGAGTAACCAAAGCAAATGGATACCTAGAGTGTCCTAAGGGGCTCTTTATGAAATGGTATGAAACGACTCCTCTTGAAGTGGCATCTGCACTTGCCCGCTCTTAGTCATGGCAGCTGGATTCCAACTGTTGTTCGATCCTCCAGGGCCCTCTCATGGGTACAAGAATGTGCCAGCCCCTCTCTGCCCAGCACTATTTTAATAAACCAGATGAAGCCTGGCATTCGTCAGAGTTAAAACATCCTCAGTGGAATTGTCCCAGGCCCACCCTGGCCTGGCCGTGGCCCCACCCCCCTATTTTCTGCCCTTGGCTCCTAGAACGCAAATACTCTTTCTCATTTGTCTTTTCCGCTCTTTTCTGCAGGCAGTGAATGAAATGGTGGGAGCAGGCAGTGGGTCTGGGGATGGTGTTTTCTGAGCCAGTGGGTGACACATTCCAGCTACTTGTGTGGAATTAGGAGGTCTGCTTTCATAGGATACCGGGCCATTTCATCGGATTGCAGTGTGGTTGCATTGTTTGTGGGAGACAGAGTTCCACAGAAGGTGTACAAAAAGGGTGTCTTAGCCAGGTGTGTTGGCGCATGCCTGTAATCCCAGCACTCAGGAGGCTGAGGCAGGAGGATCATTGCGAGTTCAGGGCCTACTGGGGCTACAAAGTGAGCTCAAGTTCAGCCTAAACTGCAGAGTGAGACCCTGTCTCAAAAAAGAAAAAAAAAGGGTGTCTTAAGCCGGGCATGGTGGCACATGGGGCCGAGGCAGGAGGATCACAAGTTCAAGTCCCTCCAGGGCAACTTAACCATGTCCTCTCTCTAAAAAGGGCTGGGATGTATGTAGCTTCATGTAAAGGCTCTGGGTTCAGTCCCCGGTTCCAGCAGCAGGAAAAAGCAAACCAAAGGATGTCTGTGCCAGTGCAGCCTCAGGAGGGGCCCTGTCAGACGCATCCCTGCAGCTACTGCGATTGTGCCGTGCACTGGCTGCCCCCACTGCTCACGGAGGCCAACAAGCAGCCTGCAGGCTCCCTTCCAGCCGCTCTTCCCCCTGCCCCCCTTTCAGTACTGGGAATTGAACCCAGGGCCTTCACATTGTGCTACCTCCCCAGTCCTTTTGAATTTTTAAAGAAAGGACCTCATGAACTTGTCCAGGTGGGAGTTGACCTTGAGATCTGCCTGCCTCAGCTTCCCAGGGTGCTGGGATTATTGTACAGGTATGCACCACCATGGCCTTTTGAATGGCTTTGTTTGATTGTCCAGCTCTCCAGACAGCATGGTGTGTAAACTGATAGGGTATAGGTGGTTTCAGATAAATGGTCTTATTTGATTTAGACTCAGTAAATCAAACCTATTTTCTTAATACAACTCCAGGAATATAGTATCTTCCTACATTTATCTGTAATGCATAATCTGTTTTCCAGAGTTAATCTTTTTCTATTTTTTCCTGTTGAATGCATAGAAATCTTTTTTTGGTCTCGGCATCTCTGTATAAAGTTGTTTCACCTTAATCTAGGTACCAAGTTGCTGTTAGTCTTGACTATTACAGAGGTCATTGTATTTAGCTATTATTAGTCCATGATTTCCCCTTCAATATCAGAGACATGGGGAGTAGTTAACATGCTCATTACCTCACTGCTATCAAACCTGCTCTGTGTTGCCCCATGAATTTAACGGACATTTTTGCAAAGCACCCTGTGTGGGATTTTTCTAATGGGTCGTATTATTTCAGAATCCCAAATTCTGTTGGTGCAGTGGGTTAGGATACCTGGTCTAAAAGGGCTAATCAAAAAAATATGGTATGTGTTTAAATTAAAAATTTATTATGGTATAAGACACATTGTCATGAATCTTCCACAAGTTCTGTCCCTCATTTCAAACACACTTATCCCATCCTTCCTGCCACTTTTGGAAGTGGTTCTGGAAATCCTCTTTCATGGATGTCTTTAGAGGTATGACCAAAATCTGGTGAGCGCTGTTGCCGGTGCCATCCAAGGGAAAGCCATACTTGTAAAAACATCACCGTGTGTCCTTGTTCAGCTTCTTCACTGGACCTGGCCCCACAATACTTCTGTCTGTTCCCCAAGGTCGAAATGACCAGGAAAGGTAAGCATTTTGAATCAGTTCAGCACATGGAGACAGCCGTGACAACACAACTAAAGACACTCACAAAAGAGGACTTCCAGAGCTGCTTCAGAAAGTGGCAAGAAGGATGGGAGAAGTGTGTTCAAGTGAGGGTTAATGATAACAGAATAAATTTTACTGTACTAAATTTAAAAAATTAATATCAACTAGATTTTTTTTATCATACTGTGTGCATGCACATTCTAGTCTGTGGGTTGATTCTGGGCTCTGCGGCCCAGCCTGAGATTTTTCTCTCTCAGAGCTTGCTGCCCTGCTCATCCTGCAGCCCTGATTCTGCTGCTTTTCCTTTTGCCTCTGGGATTAAGGCAAAGCCAGCTTGTTCCTCATCCTCTGGCTTCATCCCAGTGCTTAGCTCTCTGCTGGGGCGGCGGTATGTATCAGGAGGTATGTGGGGGATCAGGCTTCCCCCAGTTCTTTTGGTCCTAATCTTGTGCTATGTTTCCTTCCTTTCTTCCTGTGTTTTCTAGCATTATCGCTGACTCAGAGCCAGACATTCAGATTCCAAAGCCCTTCATGATTGTCTGACTCTCCGTTATCTTGAAGTCCCGCCAGGGGAAAGGGCCGGTCTACGTGGGGCAGAATTTTCTCTGCTTTCATGTAGGCTACTTTGGCTGAAGCTAAAGCATTCCTACGATCTTACCAGTGGCTGCTCACTCCAGTATTTTGACATTTTTCCACCAGCTTTCCCAAGGATTTAGCCAGGGGAGGCATGTGGACTGGAACCCCAAACACAACTGTGCATTGCTTTGCAGTGGTGTAACAAGCATCGTGAGCCCGACTGCTCTGTGGGGTGGAGGAGCCCTTATTCCCACTTCCGGGAGCCGGTGTGTATGTGAAGATTCACAGAGAGCTACAGAGGAAACATCCGCCGGTTTAAGGGAAAGGCGGTTGTTGGAAGGCCCAGGTAGGTCTCAGACAGAGACAGTTGATCAAGCGGGGAAGGCCAGGAACCTTCAGGGATGTGTGTACAGGAAGCTTTAATGGCCCTGGCTTGGTGGACTCCCAGTTATTTTCTGTCTTGGTGTCACTTCTTTCAGGACTCCAGCTCCTAGGAGAGAGAGGCGAGCTGATTAGGTCATATGCCCATTTTGACGGCAGGGAAGGCAGGCCGTAGCAGTCAGTGCTCACTAGAGAAGCAGCTCTCATGCAGGACACATATAAATGTATGAGGATTTACAAGGTAGGCTTATAGCGGCTGCCACAGTCAGGTGTGGAAGAGTGCAGAAGGGCTGTCTGCGTGCGGAGTCCAAGGATCCGTCCAGGGTTGATGGCCGGGAGCCCAGTGTAGTGTCCTGTGGAGTCCAGGTCTGTATTAGAGGCCAGAGGGCCTCCCAAAGAGTCGGCGCTGGAAGCCAGGGGACACCGTCTACGGTGAAGGTGAAGACTGGAGCTCCTCGGAAGAAACAGAAGCGAGTCTTCCTTCTTCGTTTCCCTTGTATGCCATTCAGGCCACGAGGCTATTGGTTGGTGTCACTCACACCCAGGGCGGGTCCTCTGTCTTCAGGAAACCCCTTCAGCCACTCCCAGAACGGTGCTGACCCATCAGTTGGGTGATTCTTACTCAAGTTGACACAGTAAGTTAGCTGTCCCACAGGCGGTGTAGCCCACACCACACAGAATCACGACGGGGCAACTTCCTTTCAGATAGGAAAGAAACGTGTCCATTGTATAGTTTCTCCTAAGTTGTAGCACCTTGTTCTGCAGGCAGAGCCGAGTTGGTTTTCTCTTGACTTCTCCCCCATCTCCCTCCCCGCCTCCGTTCCTCCCTTCTTCCTCCTTTGTTCTCTTCCTAATACTTGTTTGTGATATAGAATGAATGCATTCGGCGTGGGCAGATGGTACTGTACACACCACATCTTAGGCCTTTTCGTTTCTCCTTGGGCTCTCCTCCCTTCCGTTCCCCCCATCCCTCCATCCTCTTCCCATCTGTAAAGACGTCTGCTTCTCTCTCTCCTGTGCTTTCCTGTTGACTTCGAATCTGACTTCTGCCGTGTGTGGTAAGCCACCAGCCTGGGAATATTGGAATAGGCCTGGAGGAAGAAGGGTGTCACTGCTGCTGCTGG